GGGAACTCCAACAGTTGGATGTCACTAATTCATTCCTTCATGGTGATCTTGATGAGGAGGTCTATATGAAGATTCCTCAAGGTTTTGCCAAACAGGGGGAGCACCGTGTTTGTCGTCTCCAATACTCTCTAAATGGCTTAAGACAAGCTTCCCAAAATTGGTATCAGAAGTTAACTTCCTCTCTCATTGGGGCTAGTTTTTGAGAATGCTCTTCTGATTCCTCGTTATTCATTTCCTCCCATGAGTCTTCCTTTGTGGCTGTTCTTATTTATGTTGACGATGTCATTGTTGATGGTAATGACTCTATTAAGATTCAACAGGTCAAGAATATCTCCATCGGCAATTTCAAACCAAGGATCTTGGTCCTCTTAAACATTTTTTTTGGTATTGAGGTTGCCCAATCTTCCACTGGTATTTTTCTCAGTCAGCGATAATGCACTTTGGTTATTCTGACTGAATGTGGTCTTCTTGGTTGTCGGCCTTGTTCTACTCCAATAGAGCAATAACATAAGTTGACTGTTGATTCTGGTGAATTCTCCGATCCTGGGCACTGTCGTCGTATAGTAGGACGACTTCTTTATCTGACTATTACGCATCTGGATATAAATTATGTTGTCCATATTTTTAGTCAGTTCATGCATCAGCCTCGTTCTTTCGGATTATGATGTCGCTCTCCAAGTTATGATTTACTTGAAAAATGCTCCTGGCCAAGGTATATTGCTTCCGTCTGCCAATCCTTTACAGCTACTTGCATATTGTGATGCCGATTGGGCTGGTTATTCCACTACTCGTCGGTCTACTACTAGTTATATTGTGTTCTTGGGCTCATCTCTTATCTCTTGGTGGTTTAAGAAGCAGACTGTGGTTTCTCACTTTTCTGCTGAAGCTGAGTATCAAGCTATGGCCACTACTGCGAGTGAGTTAGTATGGCTTGATCGCCTGCTTCAAGAATTATGTGTTTCTCGATCCGGCCCTATCCCTCTCTTTTGTGACAATCGTGCTGCCATACATATTGCCTCCAGTCCTGTCTTCCATGAGCGCACAAAACATATCAAAATTGACTGTCATTTCATTCGTAAGCATCCACAGTCCAAGCTCTTAATCCCTCGACCTATTTCGTCGGCTTCTAAGCTTGTTGATTTTCTCACGAAGGCATTGGGACGCGATCAGTTTCATTCGTTTCTTTTCAAGTTGGGCATTGCAAACCTTCATACTCCAACTTGAGGGGGAGTATTGAGATTAATACACTTCCCTTGTATATTTGTAATAGAGATAAGTTTGTATCATTTCCTTTCTTATCGTTCCTTATTTTGTGCCATTGTACTGGTCTATATACATGACCTCTTTTTGTAACAATAATAATATTGAGAAATATCATCTTCTTTAATTCTCTTCATGTAATACACAATGTAACATATCAGTAACTAATAACTTTAGCAGACGAAATCTAAAATTTAATCAATGTTAATAAAGAAAAATAAGATAATTAATGGTTTTAATCTATCATATGATGGACACAAATGTGACACCACTTACAAAATTAATGAAAACTACGGCTAAAATGAAACCCAAAACCAAAGCACTTTTTTCCTTTTATTTTTTAATTTTTTTATGCACATATGGCATGGAATGACTTATGCAAGAAGAAGAGTGAAGGAGGATTAAACATTAGAGACCCTTGGGTATGGAACAAAGCCTTGATGAGGAAGCAAATTTGGGATCTTGCAAGTAAAAAAGTGATAAACTCACAACAAGAATCAAATGTTGGTCAAGTAGGCACCTTTCTTATGCAAGAAGGGTGGTGCTCATCAATTCAGTATTGCTAAGTGCTAACTCACATTGGGCAGGAATATTTCTCATACCGCAAAATGTGATACAACAAATCTTTACATGTTGTAGGACTTTTCTGTGGGGAACGAAGAAAAATGGGAAGAGCTGGGCTCATGTGGCATGGAATGACTCATGCAAGAAGAAGAATGAAGCAGGATTAAACATTAGAGACCCTTGTGTATGGAACAAAGCTCTGATGGGGAAGTAAATTTGGGATCTTGCAAGTAAAAAAGAATGCTTATGGGTAAAGTGGATACACATCTATTACTCAAAAGCAAAATCAATATGGGAATACAAGAAACCTCATGATTTCATCTGGTATTGGCAAAAAAGCTGCTGAAAATCAGAGACATCTTGAAAGAAGTAATGCCGGAAGAGCACTAGGATAACCTAAAAGGGAAGAATTACGCTGCAAGAAGTGGTTACCAATGGATGAGAGGATGAAGTACTGGAATGGCTGAATCTCAGGTAATTTGGAGTTCCCTCAACCAAAGCACTATTTTATCAGTTGGCTAGCCGTGAAAAAACGACTCCTAACTACAGAAAGGTTGAAACTGACTATAAGTGTGTCTGGTCCAACTTGCTGCTTATGTCTTCAACAAACTGAGACAGTGGATCATCCCTTCTTCAGGTGTCAATATTCACAAGAGATAATATGAGAGATGAGGAAAGTGATGGACTTGCACAGTAATATCAGAGACTTGAGCAAGTCTCAACTACTGAGAATTTGCAGATTTAAACCACCGAGGAATAAACTTTTATATGCAAGCTTGACTGCAGTGATCTATCACTTGTGGCAAGAAAGAAATGCAAGAAAACACGGGGTTCACTGAGGTCATATTTGAGCAAATACAGAAAGAAATCAAATGAAAAGCTAGTAATCTATGTAAAAAAGTAAAACCTTGTGATATTAGGTTTATACAGAAGGTTGGAATCAATCTTCTATGGTAGGCACTGTACATGAAAAAAAGTTGTAAACATGTCTTGGTGAAGAAGTTAATACAAATTTTACCTTTTATCAAAAAAAGGATATAATGGGTTATAGTTTGATTCTTAATGTGATAAAAATGTCCAGACTCGTTTTGAAAATGTTTGTAAAAGTACGAAAATAATGTAATAGTAATCTCAAAAATTGTAAATCTTAATGATTAGATAAACAAATGACATAACAACCTAACTAGAAAATCATGTTAGGAATCTTGAATTTATTTACTTTGTCTCAAAATTATATATGCAAATAAGTGAAATTAATTAGTCATAAGAAAATACTACATCCACTTGAGTTTGATTTTTCTTATTTTTTGATTGCCTAAGCGATTTTACGTCATGCGCCCAAAGATATGAGAAAATTCTTCAATTTTAAAATTTCAATTTTTGTGACTAAGTTTGTTCGAATTTATTCCTCTATAAGGTTGGCATGATATTGATTATGTGGATTAGTTTTTGTTGTATAAAAAGATTATGGAAACTAATTACTTGCTTTTTGTTATTTGATGTATAGATATTAATCTAATAAAATTATGTATACTTTACGTTGTTCTTAAGAAATATTCTCAATGAAAATAATAAATCTCCACTAATCACACAATGAACAGTGTCATATGTGCATGTTAGTCATCATTGTAAATGAGCAAATGATCCCAAAAACAATAAGGTTAATTACCCCGTAAACTTTTTCAGTAAATTTCATTATCACAAAATTAGTGAAATCTTATCATGAAAGTTAGAAAAATATTAATGGTGTGGATTAGGTTGTATTTTGATTATCTATATCTATATACTATACTAAGGCAAAAACCAGAGAGAGAAATCTAAAGGCATGGAACACATGCCACATAGGATTTAATCCTATGTGGGATTTTCTTAATTTTTTAGATTTAAAAATACACAAAACAAAATAATAAAAACCAAATAACAATAAAAATAAAAATAACATTTATAAAATCCATAAAAGGAGCAGTGAATGATATTTAGATTAGCCAAGATTAGCAAGATTAGTTATGAATTGGTAAATAACATTATGCTCCATAAAAACATAATTAACATAGACTAATATATTACACAAGAAACAACAGTCTTGTCATGTTATTCAACTACAGTTATTCAATACTTATGAATTGGCCATGCTAATCTAGCTAAGGAGCACCAACTGTTACAGTTTTTTATTCAATACTTATGAATTGGACAACATTATGCTCCATAAGATTCTCTACAGTTGGTTTGTTTATGGAAAAATGTTTATTGTTTATTGTTTAATCTTATGTTTATTTTTTTGATGGATTTTGGAACATGTTTATTGTTTATAAAATAAAAATTTTTTTTGTGCCACATAAGATTCACTGTCCCAAACTTATGTTTATTGTTTTCTAATTAACATTTTATAAAAGTACAAAATCTATAAAAATAATGATATTTTTATTATTTTACTTGTGTTGTAATGTCTATATGTACATGTTCTCCCCGTCCATCGGACGGGTCTAATACCTAATTAATGTGATAAATATGTCCAGATTTGTTGTGGGCTTGTGGCAATGTTTGCAGACGTATCGAAATTATGTAATAGTAATCGCAATATGAATCTTAATAATTAGATTAACAAATATTATAGCAACATGATCACAAATTCATGAAAATTAATTGCAGGAATATCCAGATAATTTGGGAATCTTGAATTTTATTTACTTGTATTCAAATATCATATAGGTAAATCAGTAAAATTGATAAATTACTAAAAAAAAATTTACTATAGATAATTGATTTTGGTTTTTCCAATTTTTTATTAAGTAAGCAATTACGCTACACGTGTCCGAAAAATGGCTTGCTTTAATATGTAGTATGTAAGATTGGAATAAAAAAGATGATTAGGATTTTTTGTTGACATAAAAAAATGATCCCATTTTCTTCATCTCAATAGATCAGTTCTAAACACTTTCGCATTTTGTTTTTCGATTTCACATTTATATTTTAACAATTAACATAAAAAGATAAAGCATTACGCAAAAACATAAAAATTAAACCGGCAAAAACCAATCTAAATGAAAATTGAAAATGTTTTATTAACCACAAGCGTTATTCATCAAGTAGTATCGAGTTCTTCCAAAATATTAAAACAAAGAAAACGCCCTAATTGAACTCTTCTTCTATAGATAATAAAAGATTACAAGTTAAAACTAAGAAAAAGCAAAGAATTTCATTCCTTCTGCCTTCAATTTGATTTGTAAATATGGTTTCTGCTCCTTGTGCATTTCAAAGATGCACACATCATTCAGTTCGACGTTATTTTCATGGACAAATATCTTCCAACCGCCACCAATTCTTCCGATATTATCCTTAGCTTCGGTGATGACCCGAACCGACCATGAATTTTCCTCATTCACTTGCAGATGAAGCTTAAATTCTTCATATAGGTTTTTAGCCAAGTTTTCCCTGACAAATTTCCTACGCATGCTCTACAAATACAACATTATGTTTAAGTAAACATCAACAATATTAATTGCAAAAGAACTGAATTGAAAATTGATAGTAAAATCAGTACAAAACATTAATGATTGCTTACTATGCGGAATGATCCAGAAATGGATCCAGATCGGATGACACAAATGAAGAATGGATGATTAGAATTGAAAAGCATAGCTTGTTGATAAGCCTTGAGATCTTCATTCTTAGGGTTAAGCGCTGATGATGAAGATCGCGAGCGCTTTGTCCTTCTTGACGTCGTTGCCTGTTGTGACGATGATCCGGCTTCTAATTATGAACGTAAGACAAACAAATTTTGTCAGACAAATTTAATATAAATAAAAATAACGTACGTATACGTATTACATAGTATTCTTAAGTAGTTGAAAAATAATTTAAGTTGTAATTCCTCACCTTTCACTTCCTTCCAGCTCTTTTCCCACAGTATTTCTACCGAATCAGCATCGTCTTCATCATCATCATTATCATCTTCTCCTTCTTCTTCATCTTTTTCTTCGCCAGATATAGGGTGAAGCTGCTTTCTCTTCGTCGTTTCATGAAGTCTTCTAGGATAGTCAATTTCCTGTCCAGCTTTATCAAATATCGTAACGGTGAACTGAGAATTTCCGTTGTATCGGAAAACCAGGAAATAATGCCTTTTGATGGCGTAAAAATCCTGGAATTCTACCCATCCTTGGTGTACCTTAGTGCCCTTATTATCCGTAAGCAACTTCATGCGCCATGTAGCTCCAATGGGATCCTTTACCATTATGACTTCACCCATATCTTTTGCATGCTTTTCAATAAAGCTTGTTGGGATTTGCTGTCAAAATGTTAAAGAACAATCAGTTGCAAAGCAAATTATGCAAAGGCTTTAAGCCTCAAATTGTTTAACACCCCAAAGTTTAGATTTATTTATCATTATTAAACATACAATCTTATCGATTTTTTTTTTTTTTGTTTGAAAACTAACGTATAACAATCTCATAAATATCATCAATAACATACATATAAAAACTTGAATAAATTAATACTAGGATCTCTGCGTATTTCTAATCTGTGGATTTATTATTTAATTGATAATCATTAGTTTATTGTTAAGTTAATGATTCATAAATTTAGCGATAGTTTGATTTTTTTGAAGAGAATTTTCTACTCTTAGAAATTAGAAAACTAGAGTGGGTATAGATTATGTAAGTTTTGAATCCTAACTCATCTATCTGATCTCTAATTTCAATAAAAATAAAAATCTCTACAGACATATTTTAACGAATAGATCTAATTAAATAATTTTATTGCTGGAACGTTTATTTATATAGAAATTTTTGGAAAATTAATCATCATATTTTTTATGGATTTTTTTAGTTGTGCCAGTTTTGAATTGGAGCAAATTATTGTTTATCCGAAATAATTAATTTAGTGATGCTGTATCGTATTCCTGTACAAGAATTGTACCTGGTCATGTAGTATTACTATTTAAAAAATAGAACATTTAGTTCTACTGACATTGGTGGCATTTCTTTACTATGATATCGCAAGATATTCTTCCATTTTAATTTTCAAACGAGTAGATCTACAACCCTTATTCAGTTAGTCTTATAGGCAAAAATTTTGTACAAATTGTTACTTCCAATGAAATTAGCACTCTAATAACTGAGATATTAATTTTAATATAGAAAAAGTACATTTGTAATTGTTCAAATCTACAACCATCGATATAGCAATATATACGTGCTTAAAAATACGGATTTGTTTATCTGTTTGACAATGTTCTCAGTTCTTAATCTTTTTCATCTCTAATCATTTTAGGAATGAAATTTTCAGCACAACAGAGATAATGATGTTAAATTATTGGGACCAAAACTTTTAAATTTAATAGTTTGGGACTAATCTATCCAATTTGGCCGAATTCTTGTGCGTATACGGAGCCGCTAAGAAATAGCTGGATTCGCATAATTTTATATTGATGTGCCCATAATATTTGTATTTCTGCTCATCCAAAATCCACGTAATATGTTCTCTTTACACATCAAATCAAAAATAAACTTGAACATGCATACATGGAATAAGAATGTTAAAAATATAATTAAATACTTACTAGGCCATTTGGAAGAGGGAAATCGAGAAGGAACTTCAGAAAATGAGGCTCCGTTGGCTGGTTAAAATCGTTGCTTTTATCATTAGCCATCTCGCCGCCGGAACTTAAAAATCGTTGCCGGAACTGAAAGCAAAGATATAGCTAATGATAAAAGAAAACGTGGGGCTGTTTACTAGATAACTCGAGAGAATATTGTAAGATTTCGGCTTAGTGCTGCCGCAGGTTTATAAAGCCGACGAACCGCGCACTTACCATTTTATGAAATCGCGCTTAATTAACATTTTGTGATTTTATAGTCATTAGTTTTTAGTTTTTTTCTTAACATTTCATGGTACTAATTAAACAATGGGGTGAGTCGATATTCTTATCCAATAATCATCATGTGCAGTAATTATTCGGAAAATTTGCTCTCGTGAACGAAACTCTGCGTAATTGGTTTTTTTTTTTTAAAAAAAAATAATAAATAAAGTGAAGATCGACAAGTTGAGGAAGTTTATAGTTGTTACTGATATCCATGGTTCTTCGTTCGAAAATTAATTGGAACTTAATTTGTTTCTACCTCAATGATTAGGATATCAGGTAATTCATTATTCATTATGACCAACTGGATTATCTGGAGTTTCTTCAAGAATTTGTTTTTAACCCAACTAGTTTTTCTTTAGAAAAATATAATTCATTTACATAAAAATAAAATATAATAATAAAAAAAAATTAATGAAGCATCTTGTCGCACATGTGCTAGTTAGCGTATCATCACCCCAATAAAAAATCTATATATATATATATATATATATATAGAATAAAAGCGACTCACAATATTCATAATCACACCATAGTGGGAGAACTACTCTAGTTTTGGTTTAATCTCAACTTTTGGCACTACAAAATATTTTCCTAAATGTATTGATAACAGCAAGAGCTACAATTTCGGGGTATGTCTTCGCATTGTTAACATTCGCAAATTTCTTTCTTGTCACAAAACTATATCCAAGAAACACTAACAAAGCACGATATACCATGTTAACTTCATGTTTGGCTCTTCATCTCGTAGAAGTCCACGTAACACAATGTTGCCAATTCGAAGTTAGCCACTGAAGTTAAATATTTTGGTGAAGAGTGAAAAAATAGTTCCTCCCCCCCCCCCACCCCCAAAAAAAAAGAATAAAATGGAAAAAAATGAATTCGGATGCGATTCAAAACCACCACAAGGCGCGCATAACTAAATCCTTTCCGGCAAAAAACAGCAAAAAAGAACAAAAAGATAAATTTTGTCTCGCAGAATGTTTATGTCTGTTTAGTTTTGTGGATTATTTTCTTCTAGTTTGAATTGCGGATGTTCACTCACAGCAGTGTATCTAGAATGAAAATACAGAGGGGGTCATATATAATGAAAAAAATCTCTATTCAAGAAAAATATTTGTCGCAAAAATTAAAGTTAATATTATTTCAAACAAAAAAAAAAGGTTCAAACTAAATAATCACAAGAACTATTTCATGAAACTGAACAAATTTAAATATGCTCGCAACAAGTCTTTATCTTCTAATAGCGGTTTATAACTGTCTCCATGTCGATCTCTTAAAATATCATATATATATATATATATTTAAAAAAAAATTCATGGCCCCAGTGATCTTCTTCTTGTGGCCAAGTATTTTAGGATATACATATACATATATATATATATATATATTCCTAAAATACTAATATCAAAACAAATCAAACACCGAACTATATAAAGTTTTCAAGAAATGAATACAACTTTAATTATCATAAATAAGAACTATTAAACCTAACGGAACAATTAAAATTTTTTTAAAAAAGTCAAATATGGATATCAAATTAGAAAATACAATGAAAAAAGTAATCTTAATAGGAAAAAAAACATTGAAAGAGTGATAAAATAAAACTTGCCTGATGGTTTTATTGTTTCGGTAGTTGCTATTTTTAGAGGAAAAGTGGGGCAAAAAGAGAGAAGAATAGAGCCCAGCTGCTTTGTAAATTTTGAGTGTAGGTTTGTTACTTAAAAAATAATCGTGAATCCTCAAAACAAAAAAAAAGAAGAAGAAATTCTACATAAATAAGGAGTGAGACCAAATTCTTACTTTCCTACCCAACCAACCCAACTTCAAATTCAATTGGAAGTTTCACGGTGAGGAAAAACGCAAATTGGACAAAGATAATTACATATATATATATATATATATATATATATGTTTCAAGCAGGGGAATAATGAATTGATGCGAACAAAAGTAGCTTACTTGGTAGAGTTCCGCCACCTGGACTATTATATATCTACGTGAATTCAGCTTCAAATTGCAGAGTCTAAATCTGCATCTTGCAAGACTATGGCAAAATCTGCAAAGTCTGAAAAGACATGCCTCAGATCTTCAAAGATTCCACAGAAGAAGAAGAAACATCGTGCAAATCAAATGTATGTGCAACCCGCGTGCAAATACCATTTGATTAAATTATAATTAAATTCATTAAGAAACAAAATTGTGAAAGAAAAACAAATCCATTAAGTACTTAATTATGAGGATAAACTTTTGATTTTAGCGTCATTTTTTATTTTTTACCAACACAATCTTAGCACGCCAAGCTGTTGGAGTCTTTTTTAGAAAATAATAATCCATATATTTAACTAGTTAAATATTTAGGCAACGGTTGCACAGTATCATATTCCTACTTAGAATATGACAAATATGTGAAACGATGTCATAGAGCGATTGATTGATACCAACATACATTGGTTTTGAGTATGTTTCGACTCACACCATCAAATTCAGTAGAAAAGAAAAAAAAAATAATCTATTGATCAGATAATTCTGAATTCATTATATGCATTGCCCTTACAGTTCTCATGAATTAGGGATTCGAAATCATGACACTAACTATTCATCAGGATCTGATGCTTCGCGAAGCCGTGGCGTATCAAACTAGCAGATGAGCAATAACCAAAAGATGGCTGGTAATCGATCGGCCTACATCTGCTTCTCAGCTCGATGTTCATCAGGATCATGGATCCAGCGGGATATTTACTGACTTTGGATTCCGGAAGACGCTTCTTGCGGTTTTCTCTCGATCTTTCAATCGTAAACTAGTCATTCGTCCCATTGTTCCTATAAATTTTTCCAATCTGCCTACTCTTACCTCTACCAATGAATTAATCAGAGACCACCAAAAATTGTTAGTGTAAATCCCAAGGAATACAAAGGGAAAAAATTGGATACAAAATGGACGTTGAAAATTCCGCTTCAAGAAAAGAGGATGGAACTTAGAAATAAAGATCAGATAGCTTATAACAAAGGGAGAAAAACTGAAAAAAAAAAAGATCATGTAGCTAGCATTCGTTTTTTCTTTTTTATTTTTTTGGTTACCGTAGATAGTAGTAGTAAGCACAGGAAATAGTCTTTTCGCACTTTTAAGCCCAATACACTAATAGACCCTTTCGTTCATTGTATCTCTTAACAAAGACATTATTATTATTATTATTATTTGGTCAAACTTCAACACCGTATTTGCACGGAATTGTTGAAGACGTTTCATCTATGGGACATTCCAAATAGCTGAATGGATATTTCACTCCAAAAGATATAAACACAACCTAAACAACTTATGGATTCAACATTAAAACATTCAAATCTACGATATTAAAAATGGTTAGTTAAACTGAACTCAAAAATT